CTTTATTTTTCATAAACTTTGTTTGTGTGCCATTTACCAAATAAATGCTTTTTCTTTCTTTCTTTCTCTTTCTTACACCCATGACACAGGAGAAAATTCTAAAGTAAGTTTTTTTTAAAATAATATAAATGTCACAGAGTGTCTCCAAGAAAGCCTAGTCAGTAGGCTGTGCGACTTCTGAGACAACCTCCTAAAACTGCTGCAACTTCTGCGAGACAGGATTTACAGTAGATACAACCATGCAAACACCGGGACACTGACAGTCGACGTCTCATAAATAACTGTGTCTTATTCCTGCTGGCCTGATTTGTCGAAATGAATGCTTTTACTTCTTCTTCTTAGTTATTCTTAGATCAGAAGACACTATTAGCGGAGAAGAAAAAACAATCTGCCCTTAGTAAAAAAAATATTTCAAATCATCAACTTGAACAAAAAACTATCGATACTTCCTTTAAAACATTATCGATATATCGACACTTAATTCCCACATCACTGAAACAATTTTATGTGTTCTAATTGTCACGTGGGCGTCTGCTCGCGGCTTTAGGCCGTGGCTGTGGACAATGATAATCGCAGCAGTAATTTGATTCAGTTACCTTTGTCCAATTACAGTAAAATTTGCCTTTTTATAATAGTATTAGCTAATGACTTTACTGCCTGTTTCTGTAGTAAATTTTAGTATCTAATTAGGTACCGATATAATAGAAATTAATGTTGCTGGAGAATGAAAATAAATTTAAAACATATATTAAGCGCAAATTATGTAAACAAGCTTACTACAGGGTGATTGATTATCTCGAGGATAGGAATGCTTGGCAGCGTGTTGGTTCGGCTTCACTGGACAATACTCAAATGTAGTCAGTACCTAGTTCAGATTACGATAATAGGTAATTTAACACTTTGATTCCGATGAAGGCAATCTATTTTTCTTGTGGCATCGAGCATTTCTTTCTTTATTGAAACAAGAGTTTTTTTTTGTTTTCTTGAATAGAAGCACTATTTTATATGGATTGTTAGTATACATATGTGAGGACCATGTCAGACTTAATATATTTGTTGTCTCTTGGTTTTGTTTTTTTTTATTTTAGTATGTTCTGTTATTTGTATGTTGCGTCAGGTATGTCTTTACATTATTCTCACATGTGTATAATATTGTAATATGTATCAGAGCAATGTAAAACAGACTTTTTTTAAAAGCGCTAAAAAAGTAGCGAATGGAGTTTCTTGCTCGTTCTTCTCCACTCGTATCGACATTTTGGAACGAGCGCCTAGCTTCACTGACGGACAGACTGACAGACTATTATTTATTTCATATTTGTTGACGTTTCAAAAGTACCAAATTATGGTTTAATTGAAATAAATGCTTTTGAGTTTGAGTTTGAGTTTGAAAATTATTCAGTAGTGATGAGTATTTTAGTTTTTTCGCAAGTACATAATTATAAGGCGATTAACACACGGCGCCGCGCACCGCAGCGGTAGATAAAGCGAACCTCATGTTGCATTGAGCTTTATGAAATACGTATATGTCAATTTTTTTTTAATGGGGAAAATCATCGAATGACTGCTCCCGCCTGGGTGAGGTGGGAGGGAGTGTCAGACTCTTACTGACTAAAAACCATCTCGTTCTTTCTCCTGCACGTCGAGCCGGAGCCCCGGTAACCCGTTAGGTTCTCCGCGACATCCGTATATGTCTAACACACATTCACAGCCACCGTCCCACCGCGCGGCTGGACGGCGCCTCACACTCGGGGCGCCGCGTAGATGCGCGGATCACCGTGGGTACAGGACGTGTTACATTGTGAACTGACTTACCGTCGCCACCCTCCGCGGCGGTACGCGGTGCCATGTGTTTATTGCCCAAGATTGGCGAGTAACGTAAGGTTTGTTTATCGTCGTGTTAGGCAGTCTATTAGTATTTCCACTAAATTTTTATTTCGGGTCTAAGTTTTATGTATATGTATGTGTACAAGTAAATATAGACCATAAAATCTAACCTTACATAGCTTTTTTTGAGGGGGAAAATCATCGAATGACTCACTCCCTTTCACCCTGACCCGGGCAGGAGAAATCCTGCCCGGGTCATGGTGAAAGGGAGTGTCAGACTCTTACTGACTAAAAACCACCCCGTTCCTTCTCCTGCACGTCGAGCCGGAGCCCCGGCAACCCGTTAATTAGCCCTGTTGGGCCCCATCTGTGGTGGTCTGATGGCTCCTTGAGGCGCGCGCGGAATGCGACACCTGACATAGCTTAACAAGACATTGTATTATGGATGGTATCTGAGCATCGGTTGTTGCTTTGATTGTCATGTATGCAGCTCATGACTATGAGCCCCAAATATGACTCGAAACTAGTAGAGTGACCAGTTACGTGAGTAATCCGTACGGCATTGTAAACCCAGGAATGTTTATATTTTTAATATTAAAAGCTTGAAATCGCCAATCCGCATTGAGCAAGCGTAGTGATTAATGCTCAAACCTTCTCCGTGTGAGAAGAGGCTTTTGGTTAGCAGTGGCCACTTATAGGTTGTTGATAATCATGATATTCTTAACTTACTCATTTACTGCTCTGTTGGCCGAGTGGTCGCAAGTGCGACTGCCGGGCAAGGGGTCTCGGGTTCGATTCCCGGGTCGGGTATTACCGGGTTTTTAAAAAAAATCTCAGTAGTAGCACGGAGTCTGGAATTGTGCACGGTATATGGCAATAGGCTCGTTCCCTATTACATGGGACTCATAACATAAATAGTGAAAAGTGGGTGTTACATTGTACTGTGTGTGTGTTAATGCCACTGCATTAAGTGCCGTAATGTACACCTCTGCCTACCCCTTCGGGGATAAAAAGGCGTGATGTTATGTTATGTACTCATTTATCTGCCTATCCCTTTAGACCAAACTATGTTACGTTAAACTATGTATTTCCCCGTAGTCAAAGTTTATTTAAATGTAAATACATTCCTAACTAAGTTAGGCGCGTCCTTAGGCACGGCCGCTTGTCTGAAGTTAGGATTTAAGTGACTTAGGACACTTCTTGTAAACACTATTTATGTATGTATATATTATACATATATATTCGGAGTCGCGGAGAAACTAACGGCTAACCGGGGCTCCGGCTCGACGCGCAGGAGAAGGAACGGGGTGGTTTTTAGTCAGTAAGAGTCTGACACTCCCTCCCGCCTCACCCAGGCGGGAGCAGTCATTCAATGATTTTCGCCCCTTAAAAAAAAAAAAATTATACATATATGTATAGATATACAGTAGAATGGTTGATTGATGTGTAGATTCAGCAGTTTTGTATATTTATATTTCACACACAAAATCACGCCTGTTTTCCTCGAAGGAGTAGGCAGAGGTGCACATTACGGCACTTAATGCCACTGTCTAATGTAACACCCACTTTTCACTATTTATGTTATAAGTCCCATGTAATAGGGGGCGACCTTAATGCCACATACCGGGCTCATTTCCAGACTCCGTGCTACTACTGAGAATTTTTTAAAAACCCAGTAATACTTTGGCCGACCCAGGAATCGAACCTGAGACCCCTTGCGCGGCAGGCACACTTGCGACCACTCGGCCAACGAGCCAGGCATTTATATTACCTGGGGTTTAATACCCGGGGTTATATAAAAAGTTCTGATGATGACAGAGGTGTACTTTATGCTGTGTGGTAACAGCCCTGTGATGGTTGGTCTCCCTCTCTGAAATACAAGAGATGGCCGGATTCCAAGGTTACGCTATCCTCCCCCTGTCTTCGGACCTCACATAACCCCAGAACATGCCACCTCACATTTCCCAGCTCCACCTCGAGCTGCGCCAAATGTTCATCGAGCCGTAGCGTTCGTCCGTTGTACGTAGCCCGGGTCAGTTGGTGTTGTCGGCCTTTCGTAGTCCGGGGATTCTTAGCACCCCTTGTCCCGCCGTTACCACGACCACCGACTTGGCCGGGAATAGCGGGGTGACCGGGAACTAGGTGCCGTTCTTTTATTGGATGCGCTATTAAAGGTAATGCCCATAATCACCACGCTGGGCAGGCGGGTTGGTGTTATTGTTAGTCTATTTAATTTGTCTACGCCTATATAGCATGGTTATACCGCCAAATGCCGGTCGCCAGAGCCTCGTCCGTTTATCGGTAGGATGTACCACGAGCAGGTGAGGTTGGCTGGGGTACTTAGATGGTGTTCTCCTCTCTTACATCCCTCTACTTCGCTCACGGATATTGTAAGAGCCGACTAAATGACTACATATTTGACAAAGATCGGTCAGCTCAGTACTCTGTGATGAAACTGATGTGTAATGAACGTGGATACAAAACCCCAATGGACAACTGTTCAGACAGAAATCCCGCCAAACACGATCACCTTGTCTGGTCGGAGGATCCTCCTTCCAATCTTAGGTAACTCTACCCACTCAACTTCGTTTTGCAGACTTTTTTATTTTATTATTATTATTATCTTAAGGTATGTCGTGGTGTCCCGGAGGTTTAAGACGCGCTTCTCATGCACAAGGATGCGGGCTCAAAACCTACCAACGGAAAATACCGATGTGACTTTTTCCGAGTTAATGTACTTTCTTAGATTATTTAGACACCACTGACAAACACTGAAGGAAATCATCGTGAGGAAACTTGGGCTTATAATTTCTAATTATAAGTTTGTAATCGCGAACTTACATTGAGCAAGCGTAGTGATTAATGATCACTCCTTCGTCGTATGAGACGAGGCTTTGCTCAGCAGTGGGCATTTATAGGCTGTTGATGATGATAATGATAATCTTAGAAGAGCTTACATTTTAAGGAACAACAAAGGCTGTTTTTATTATGATTGCTGTACAGTATTGGGATCTACTCCAGAGAGATCTTTTTAATGCTACGAATCTCAAATTGTACAAGATTGCTGTACAGTATTGGGACCTACTCGAGAGAGATCTTTTTAATGCTACAAATCTCAATTTGTACAAAACTGACAATCATTTTTTTTAAGTTCGTTTAAATATTTCTCAACTTACCGCGTTGAACCTCCTGATTAGAGCTCTGACAGAACTCTTGGACGCGCTGTGTGATGGCGGTGTCCTCCTGATCATGTGCCGTTCATTCACCGCACCGAGGACTCCTTCTCCGCCAAGATCCAAGGTCACCTGGCGTAGGTAGTCGATTGGGGGCACCTGGTGACAAAAATAGTAATTATAGATTGGAATATGTCCTGATATTACGACTAGCCATTGAAGTTAGCTGCAACGATTAATTTTGAGAAAGATGTGTCTTCGAAACGAATGGAAAGAAAGAAAGAAAGAAACTTTTTTTTGTATCATGAGTTCATTGCCGATCATGTACTCGTGATACCTCTGGTGTTTTTTTTATGGGATAAGCCGGTAAACGAGCATATGGATTACCACACCCAGAACACCAGAGGCGTTACAAGTGCGTTACGAAGATTGTTGGGGATTCAGGGATTGGGGAAACTGGGCCTCCGGTGACCTAACTCATAAGTACGACGAAACACAACGCAAGTGATGTAAAAAATTGCTGGAAAAATATTAAAATTAAATTGTTCATAAAATCAATTATTGAAAGTGTGATTATTTTTTTAATATTTTATTGTAACTGCCGGGCAAGGGGTCTCGGGTTCAAGTGAAACAAATGAAACAAGTGAATTTATTTCAGCAAATAGGCTACAAGGCAGCACTTTTACACGTCAATTTTATCAAGCGAACGATGAGGTCGACATTTCCTAACTGACTACTCTGAGAAGAAATGCCGAAATAAACTCAAAGGTTTGTCTCTTTTAAAGTCCAGACAATATGTATAATAGATTCCCGGATCGGGGAAAGTATTACTGGGTTTTTTTATGTAATTATCAGCACGGAGTCTGGAATTGTGCCCGGTACATGGCAATAGACTCCCCCCTATTACATGGGACTTGTAACATAAATAGTGAACAGTGGGGGTTACATTGTACAGTGACATAATGTGCACCTCTGCCTACCCCTTCGGGATAAAAGGCGTGATGTTGTTGAGACAAGGGTTCGGGTTGTAATTAAAAGATACGACAAAGTTCCACTCTATATAATAACCAAAAAATACTTAGGCTAATTACAATGTACGCGACCCACTCGCAACCCGACAATCCCGTGACTGCCCTACGTTGCATAAATGCAATGTTGCAAAACCTATGCGGTGCATTGTCGTCGCTACAATGTTATATTATGTTATTTTATTGTATTTAACAGTCGAAATAATTTTATTTGATAAAGGAGAGTACCCAATTGCACGGTCTCTGTCTAATATATAGTCCTTCGTTGAATGGTACATTATAAACATCTGTATACAATATAGGTATTTGTACATAAATCAATTCTCTTTGCATTCCTTACCGTTATACCCTTACGTAGTACTTTACCCTTTTATATTAAATTACCCCTTACCCCAGTATTTCAAAGCACTTCGACGTAAAATGTAATAATCTAAATTGTATTGATACATTGATTGATTCAAATGCATTTTACTTTGCCTATTTTGAAGTAAATTTAGATTTTTAAGGGGTGAAAATCATCGAATCACTACTCCCGCCGCCTGGGTGAGGCGGGAGGGAGTGTCAGACTCTTACTGACTAAAAACCACCCCGTTCCTACTCCTGCACGTCGAGCCGGAGCCCCGGTAACCCGTTAGGTTCTTGCAGTGATGACACCCGGGCGTTTCCTCCCGCCCCATCAGACACAGGTACCTCCCGAAACTTCCATGTCCGGTGAGAACCTGCGTCAGGCGGTAAGTGAGGACGCCGTAGCGTCTCTCAAGCCACTCCTCAAAGGGGGACTTACCGCTGCATTTATATATATAAATATATTTTGTGTATTTATTGTTATTGCCTCGTTGGCCTAATGGTCGCAAGTGTGTGTGCACTGTGACTGTGCACCTCTGCCTACCCCTTCGGGGATAAAAGGCGTGATGTTATGCTATGTTATGTTATGTAAAATTATTTATATATTTTAATTTTTTTTATAAAAACGTTGCCCTACGCTTGGATTTTCTTCTATGTCGTGGGTGCGTTTCAAACATACAAGTTCACATACACATGACACACAGATCCGAAACAAAAATCTGTTGATCACACAAAGAGTTGTTCCGTGCGGGAATCGAAACCGCGATACGTTGCGCTGCAGCGGGTTGTCCAGCCACCGCACCAATCGTGCAGTCAAATTGTAGATAGTACTAGGCACAAATCATAAAACACGGAATGTATTAAATCCCGAGTACGCGGGCGACGTCGTTGGTAGAACCTAGTATAGTTATATGTTTAGGAAAATACTTAACATATAAAAACATACTATATCCGACATATATTTTCCCCTCAAGATAAGCAAGTTGTGAGCTTATTTATCGGTTAAGCGATTCAATCGATTGGGAATCGGCGACCCTTAACCGAACATAGGAAATGGGATTACCTTAGTTTGGCCACAGAGGAGGGAAAATATCGTAGATATGGTATTAGGCATTAGTTGTTAGTTCTTATATATTACTAGCAGCCCGTCCCGGCTTCGTACGGGGTAGACAATTATTTATTTTTGGAAATTTGGATTGTTGTAGTGACATAACTACAATAGTTGGACATATGCTACCGCGGAGTTTTTTGTAGACATTATGATGTTCTTTAATATTGTTGTACATTATTTTGTTCTATCGCTAATAGTTTCGGCAGCGCATTCGACGAAAGACATTTTAAGACTCATTTTTCTACACCTCCGGTTACATTGTTCAAATACCAAGGATCCCTAATTTTTTCATAATGAAATGTAGCCTATGTCAAATTGGAAGAATGTAGCATTCTATTGGTGAAAGAATTTTTTAAATCGGCCCAGTACTTTTTGATCCTATTCACTACAAACATACAAACATACAAAAATAGGTACAAATCTTTCCTCTTTATAATATTAGTATAGATTTTGAAGGGACAACATTTGGTGTCATCTATAGCTAAGGTTATAACAATTGTAACATGTAAGAGTTCACATCTAAGATTTAGGCTCGGTCTAGTTTTTTTATGGGACCACCAAATGACCAGACGAATCACCTGATGGTAAGCAATCGCCGTCGCCAATGGATAACCGAAACACCAGAGGCGTTACAAGTGCGTTACCTGCCTTTTGGGTATTAAGAATTTAAACATTATTGGGGATTCAGGGATTGTGGAGGGGTCTCACGTAACCTCTCTTACACAATGCAAGCGTTGCTTTACGTCGGTTTTCTGCTCGGCCGTGGTGTCACTCCGGTCGAGCCGGCCCTTTCGTGCCGAAGTATGACTCTCCCACAAATAAATTAGTTTATATAGTATTCAAAAACTATGTGTTTCTGACACACAGTTTTTGAATATAAATGTGTTGTTTCAATAAATACTTTTTTTATTTATTATTTAGAACCACTAAATAAATCACAGTAGTAGCACGGTGTCTGGAATTGTGCCCGGTATATGGCAATTGGCTCACCCCCTATTACATGGGACTCATAACACCTCTGCATACCCCTTCGGGGATAAAAAAAACGTGATGTTATGTTATGTTATGTTATTTAGTGGTTCCGTGCGAGAATTGAACCGGTTACACCTATTGCGGTAGCCGGTTGCCCAGCCAATCTTTATGTATATAATTCTTCTGTGAGTGTGTATGTCACTGAATTTCTCTCAAACGACTGGACCGATTTTGATGAATTTTTTTGTGTGTGTTCAAGGGGATCTGGGAATGGTTTAGATTCACAAATCAGCCCGGCAGATGGCGCTGCAGTCACTATCTTTTTTTTTTAAGGGGGGAATATCATCGAATGACTGCTCCCGCCTGGGTGTCTAGATTATTTATCTATACCTATACTTATTATATAATACGCAGGTTAACGTCTGTCAGGTCCACTAGTGTGTATATAAAATACAAGAATACAAAAAAAGTGAGAAATATTCAAATGAAACAGCGTCGCAACGATTTACTCTTGTTCCAACAACTAGAAGAAAATTTGTAAAATAAAATAAAAAAATTGAGGAAAACGTCGTCCCAGCGCTGGCGTTGTGTCGACGACGGAGATTATTGAGTCAATTTGCTATGACAATTTTATGCGCCGCGGGTTCGACGCCTGGGAAAGTCGGCGAGTTATTCGTGCCCTATTTAAACGAATACGGAAGATTTATCAAGAAACCTTTGAGGATTTGGAGCCAAAATGTTCATCAATCGCCATTAGATTTTTTGCATTTTTAGGGCCATATCTGTACATTAAAATTAATAAAGAAACCTTAGTTTACGATGTAAATTACACCAGAGCAAAACAGCGCATTTCTCAGTATCTACTATCATTAAGTTATGAAAAAAGCGAGGATTTGTTGATTGTCATTAAATAAATAATATATAGGTATAAATAGATAATAATTATTTTAATAAATGCAAGTATAAAGTTAGTATTTCCTAACCTATTTATACATACATAGGTTTTGTAATATTTGTGACTGTAAAAATAATATTGTTAAGGCTTAGTTATATTATCCTAATGTATAATGCAGGCGACCACAAAGCCTGTGGTACAGATTTAATTCCATACAGGCATTGTATTTTAACTTACCTAGAATAGTTAAATAATAAGCTTAGATTGATATATGAACAAAATGGAAATAAATACATTTGTTTGTTTGTTTGTTTTGATTAGTGTGTTATTGTCCATTGCTGCCATTATACTGTGCACGAGTTTTTCTAGTATATAATATTAATATCTATCTATACATATAATAAAATTGTAGAAAAGTGCTGTCTGTACATTGAAAATAAAATTAAAAAAAATAGCAGGGGCTATTGTTATGTCGATGTCGAACCCAAAAATGTAACTAACTTTTTTTTTGTCTGTTTGTCTGTTTGTCTGTTCACGCTAATCTCAGAAACGGCTTATCCGAGTTGGATGCGGTTTTCACGAATATATTGTGGTATGCTTCAGTTATGCTTTAGTGTTTGTTTCATGTCAATCGGTTCATAAATAAAAAAGTTACGTCAAATTAAAGAATCACGTCGAACACTATCTATCTATCTATACATATAATAAAATTGTAGAAAAGTGCTGTCTGTACATTGAAAATAAAAATAAAAAAAATAGCAGGGGCTATTGTTATGTCGATGTCGAACCCAAAAATGTAACTAACTTTTTTTTGTCTGTTTTTCTGTTCACGTTAATCTCAGAAATGGCTTATATATATTTAACAGGGTGCGGATTTGGTGATAGTGGTTTTATTCCTCAGATTCCTCTCATTCCAAAAAAAATTCCGTTTAATTTTAAACGAATTCAGTTTCCAGTGAGCCTATGTTTCGCCATGACAATTAATAAAGCTCAAGGTCAGACTCTAAAAGTTGTGGGTATAGATCTAAATATCAGCTGTTTTAAATTTCGCACGGTCAATTGTATGTGGCTCTGTCCCGTGTTAGCAATCCCAGCAGCCTGTATGCTTTCACCCCCGATGGCCATACGTCTAATATTGTATATAGAGAAGCATTACAGTAAAGTAGGTTTTTTAGCTACCCAAAATGACTGTGATTATGATCCAAATCTAAAATAAAAATAAGTATATATTAAAAAAAAACACGCTGCAAAGTAACTATTCACTATTCTACGCGAACAAAGTCGCGGGCACAGCTAGTAATAAATAAATTTATAGATGTATTTATAAAACTAAGTTAAGTTCTAGATATGGCCACAGGTGGCGTTTTGGTTATTTTTGTCATTCCTTTTCGTTCTTCCATTTTGTTTTGTATTAGCTTTTGTTTTCCTATTATAATAAAAGTGTTGAAAGAAATCTTATTCGAATTAATTGAAACCACCTAATACCTGAATAATTACGTTGTTAATATTAATTCATTATTACTTCTTTCCGCTTTTGACTTCAGTTCGCTTTTGGCCATCAAGCACACAACACGATCTCCAATTTCATTCATTATTAGTTTATCTAATTTTGGGACAATATAGTGAAACTTTATTATATCAAGACTTTCATTTAAGGATAAAAAACCTATTTTTTTAAGGGGGGTAAATCATTGTATGTCTTCTCCCGCCTAGGTGAAGCGGGAGGGAGTGTCAGACTCTTACTGACTAAAAACCACCCCGTTCCTACTCCTGCACTTCGAACTGGAGCCCCGGTTACCCGTTAGGTTCTCCGCGGTTCCGTATCGGCAACAGCCCTATTGGACCCCATCCGTGCCGGTCTGATGGCTCTTTGAGGCGCGCACGGAAAGCGACGCGTCGTACGCTCGGGACCTTTGAGGGTTTGGAGTCACCAACTGCCATTAGTGTGATTTTGTCCTGCTGATTGTCACAGAGTATATGACTGTATTGAAATTAACTCGTCGAGTACCGGTTTTGTAGACACAATTATAGAACAATAGGTTGCGGTCACCGGTGACCGCTTGGTATTTGACAGTTTAAAAAAAAAAACGCTAAAGTAATTATTGCTTGACAGATCCTATTATACAATTAATGACTTTCTTAACCTTCAAATTCTGACGTGTTGCTTAGTCACATCATAAACGTGACGCCACACACCGTAAAAAATAATAGAAATGGATTATTTTTATTTACTGACTGACTGATGGATGGATGGCTATAGGCTAAACTGAAACATCACGCTACGACCACTAGGAGCTGAGCAGAGCATGTGAAACCGCGCGGAAGTAGCTAGTTCTGTAATATATAAAATCTAAAGCCCTTCTTTCAGTATAGAACAAGCTAGCTGTGTCTGACATGGCGGGCTATCGATCGAATCTAAAATTATACACGAGGACCATTGCTACAAATACAAATGTTATTGTTTTGAAACCGAGGTTTTTAAAATAGGTTAGTAGGCTTGTTATGTTTTTTTTTTAATCTTACTAATAGCACGGAGTCTGGTATTGTGCCCGGTATATGGCAATAGACTCACTCACTTACATGGGACTCATAATGTAAAAAGTGAAAAGTGGGTGTTACATTGTATATGTTATGTGTAGGTCTGTAACATAACATAGCATCACGCCTTTTATCCCTGAAGAGATAAGCAGAGGGGCACATTACGGCACTTAATGTCACTGTACAATTTAACACCTACTTTTCACTATTTATGTTATGAGTCCCATGTAATAGGCGAGCCTATTATTGCCATATTATTATACCGAACACAATTCCAGACTCCCTACTACTGAGATTTTTTTAAAACCCACTAATTCTTTGCCGGACCCGTGTCCGAAGCCGAGACCCCTTGCCCGGCAGTCGCACTTGCGACCACTCGGCCAACGAGGCAGTCAAGACAGGTGTATGTCTGTATATTTAGATAATATAATATATCATAGACCTTTTTGCATACTATTTATAAAAAGGTACCTAAAAGTTATTTACTAATATTACCTAGGCCTAAGCAAAACCTAGGTAGGCGTTTCAAAGGCATTCCATCGTTTGCCAAAGGAAAATACACCTAAAGCGGTGTATCAAGTTATTTAGAAAACAATTAGAGCAAAAAGGTAGCTTACACGACCTATTTTTGAATGAATAGAATGTCTTATTCCGTTGGGACGCGAGTGATTTAAATGTATCGATAATTTATGTTATCGACATTATTATAAAGTAAAGATAATTTTTTCTACACAAGTTTTCATTTTTAATAATATCTGAAAACGTGTTTTTTTAATATAATATGTACACGTAGTGTGCAATAATTCTCAAAGAAATCATATTTAGGTTCATTGTGTCTAGACTCTTTGTAGTCTGTTGTGAAAGTTGTAGATTTTTATTATTTTTACACATATTTCGTATACACATTTCTAAATACGAACACAATTTTTTATATAACATCAATACATAGTATAAAACAAAGTCGCTTTCGCTGTATGTCCGTATGTATGCTTAGATCTTTAAAACTACGCAACGGATTTTGATGCGGTTTTTTTTAATAGATAGAGTGATTCTTAAGGAAGGTTTGTATGTATATACATATTGCACCCGTGCGAAGCCGGGGCGGGTCGCTAGTAACATATAAAATTGTATACCATAATAATTCCATATATTTATTTGGACATAAATAAAATTAATATTAACAATTACTAAATGAAAATATGTACAACTTAAAATATAAATAACTGTAAACTAAAATATTTACAACTTAAAAAAAAGTAATAATAATAAATGTACCTCATTTTTACTCAACATATTGTGTAATTAATACAACATTTTACGTGTTTTATGTTATTATTAATAGATTCAAAGTGGAAACTTGGAATCGATTTCCTATTGTCCTTTTCGTTATTAAAATTCAACAGTTTGGAACATGCAAATTTACCTACTGTAACACTTTTAGACAGTGGCTTAACTGTACCGTTTGGGGCCCGTGGCAAATTTATCGGATGGGCACCCGTTCCCAATAAGGAACATATAAGTTCTAATGAAAATCTTGGAACGGGACCTCTTCGAGCTGGGGGGCCCGTAGCATTTTGTCGACTTGCCTAGTCTGTAGACTGTACAGACTGTGCCTGTCTGTATGCCACTGCTTTTAGAAATAAAAATTAATATTGGTTTTGTTTTTATAATAACCATCGTGAGACATACTAAATTAAATAAATATCGCGATTGACTCACGTGAATATTCTAAGAAAAGCTCTACTAGTTTCGGGCAAAAGAAAGGGCTCTTTCTAATAAGCAGCGTTCGCGGTCGCGGCGATGTCGCGCAGCCTACTAAATGAAACTAGTAGACCTTTTCTCAGTATAATCACGTGAGTAACCCGAGATTTTTAGTTAATTTAATATTTTTTTATAATAACCATCGTAAGACATACTAAATTAAGTAAAAACGCGGGTTACTCACGTGAATATACTGAGAACAGCTCTACTAGTTTCGAACCACAGAGGGGGCAGCGTTCGCCGTCGCGGTGACGTAACAAGTAGAGCTTTTCTCAGTATATACACGTGAGTAACCCGCGATTTTTAGTTAATTTAGTATATTTTTTCTTTCCGAAATTCAAAATTATATATTATTTCAATGACAAAACATCACAAAAATCAAGTTAACCTTCCCTAAGGCAGTTTATGTACTTCATATGAAAAACTATATCGATATTGAGATTTGAATCGATATATATTATGCCCATGCCTAAGTTGAATCCAAACACGGGCCGTTCAATCGAAGTGGGTCGTATTATTCTTAGCTTTGTAATCTTCTTACTGTGTTTTTGGATTGAATCGAGTGTATTTTAAAGCCGTTTATACCCTAGAGGGGTAAGCAGAGATGTCTAATTTTGGTGTATTGGGAATAAGGTGGTCTTTATTAATTTTCATCTAATTTTATAATGGATTTTACTGTAAGATACTTTTTCATGGAAGATTATTAGATTACTGCCTCGTTTGCCGAGTAGGTCGCAAGTGCGACTGCCGAGCAAGCCAAGGGGTCTCGGGTTCGATTTCAGAGGCGGGCAAAGTATTACTGGGTTTCTAAAAAATCTGAGTAGTAGCCCGGAGTCTGGAATTGGGCCCGGTATGCGGTATATGGCAATAGGCTCACCCCATTTTACATGGGACTCATAACATAAATAGTGAAAAGTGGGTGTTACATTGTACAGTGTTATTAACTCGTCGAGTACCGGTTTTGTAGACACAATTATAGAACAATAGGTTGCAGTCACCGGTGACCGCTTGGTGTTTGACAGTTTAAGTGCCGTAATGTGCCTACCCCTTTCATGGATAAAAAGGCGTGATGTTATATTATTACTAGATTAAAAGTGTCACTAGGGAATTAGGGATTTGAGAATTGGGGAATTAGGGAGAAATATAAAATATGTTTACCTGGTAGAAAAGCTGATATTCTGTGTCTGTCAACCTGAGGGCCACCTCCTCAGGAAACCGAAGGATATTCTTCAATGACGCCAACTCCTCGTCGTTTGTCTCCTCTGGTGCTGAAGATCCTGGAGGAGAAGGAGACATTATTGATGTATCTAGTTTATAAATGTTTTTTTTTAAGTTATTGGGTAAATGGCTATGTGGTAATTTTTATTCTGGTTAACACTCTCTTTTTCTCCTTCTTTAAGGGGCTCCCTCAGCGGGAGCATTCACGTGTAATGTAACATTATAGATTCGACTCTGAGCATTACATTACAAAAATACCTCCCTGACTAACGAGCATTTGCGTATAATGTAACATATAGTTAGATTCGACTTTGAGCATTTCATAGCAAGATGTCAGACATTGATGTCACAAGTTGTATCAAGATATTACACATTGTATCATTACAAGGCGCGCAGTGTAGTGCTCGGTTCTACTCCTTCATTGATAACATAATATGTTATGTTATC